ATGAGGGCTGGATCTCACCACTGCTCTGCCATCATGATTATCTGCAGCAAACTGGGGTGTGGATGTGGGACCGGAGAACAAACCCCCTTCTGGGGGAAACACAGAGTCCAGGGAAGCTTGAACTAGCCAGAGAGCAGAGACGGGCTGTCAGACTCCCAGAAAATTCTGGCACAAAGATTGGTGCCCAACAAAGGCCCAGGCAAAGTGGTAAAATACACAAATACATAGCAGACAGAGCATGATGGAGGCATTCAAGGGGAAAAGGAAATTACTGAATCCCAGCAGCCTGCGGGAGGGAAGAAAGGGACACTGCCCAGGCCCGAGAGATAGCCCTAGGGGGTTACAAACCTGTGCAGGTCCCCACCTGCCCTGGACAACTCCAGGAGTAAGCAGGAGCATGTGGGGGAAACTGTTCTATCTTGAATCTTGAGACAAAGACAAGAGGTTCATGGGTCATAGGAACAGTTAAGCTGAGAAGACTGCACACAGCTCAGGAAAATGCCCATGGAGACTCCCAAACCCCGCCTTCTGGTGGCAGTGAACTGTTTCACTTAGGGACCGAACATCCCATCCTTTGACACGATCCAGTGTTGTGCAAACACACTTCGCCAGTACAAGCAATTTGCTTATTCACTCAACAACTGTTTAGGGACACGTACTCTGTGCCGAGACGGTGAAGGGGGTGCAGTGAGCAGGACACAGCTCCTGACCTCCTCACCTGCTGTGCACGCAAGCCTAGCAAACCACAAGTCAGTTCTAGGCCCTTGTCAAGTTCTCTTCCCATAAAGGAAATCGGGAAAAAGACAATGGAATCTTCCTTACTCCACGAACTCTCATACAGGTTTGAAAAATAAAGTCACAGTTCAACAGGGGGACTCCCGAAAACCCTACTTAGAAGCTTTTCTAAAACAATTTTTTTAATGTTTATTTTTGAGAGAGAGAGAGAGAGAGAGAGAGAGACAGAGCACGAGCAGGGGAGGGGCAGAGAGAGAGGGAGACACAGAATCGGAAGCAGGTTCCAGGCTCTGAGCTGTCAGCACAGAGTCTGACGCGGGGCTCGAACTCACAAACACGAGATCGTGACCTGAGCTGAAGTCAGATGCTCAGCCGACTAGGTGCCCCCCTACTTTAGAAGCTTTATGGGGCGCACAATGCCGCAATACTCCCAGCTCTCCAGGCTGAATGCCTTTAGACCACTGCTGTTTCAACACATCCTGTGGTGAAAACGGCATTCACGCACATGACTGGCAGCTGTACGAAACGATGCGTGTTTTCCGTAAGGCACAGGGGGTCGCGTGTTCCCCACCAAAGCCTTCACACCCTGTGGATCCATATTTCAGCTTCCGGGAATCTGTCCATGGGAACAATTCAGACCCTGGCGCAGCTTCCTGGACAAAAGGAGGCCACCGGGGTGGCATTTACAGAAGCAGAAAGTCCAGTCCCTTACAGCAACGGTCAACACCCAGGGAATACAACAGAACCGGCCCAGAACACTGCCTACCGTAAACACACTCCGCGGCAGGAGTTACAGCTGCCAGGAGCTAAAAGCAAACATGTCCGGCACCGAATGGAACACAAATTTATGGCCCATCTACTCAATGGATTATATAACCATAAAAATTTGTTTGTATGACGACAGGGTCATGACACTGTACATGACACATGTACAGGTACATGACACATGGTAGAACGTTAAGTAAAAAAAAAAAAAAAAACAGGAAGCAACAGCATACTCTACAGTCATAGTTACATTATCAAGAAAGAAAAAGATGGGGCAGATCAAGGGCTGGGGGTGGGGGAGGGGCTGCATAAAACGCCAGC